AATTATACACACTCATGGACAGAGTGACAATCTCTAAAACCAACTTAGTTAGGTGGACGGGGAGATTGATAACTGAATCTTCGTTCATCGAATGAACACTGAATACATGCCACATCACCTGTTCCAGATATATGGAAAATTCTACTACCTATACCACAAAGAAGGCGAGGAAAACAAGAACTATACCAACCTCATCTTAAATTTGTGGAGTTATCTTTTATGAATATAGATAATATATAATGTTCAGAACGTAATCAATAAATGATACTCTGATACATCTATGAAATCATGTAAATTGAAACTACACAGTCGAGGAACACCAGCAAAGATACTTAAGCACTGATAAAAAACTTGATTTCAATAGTTGGTGATTTATATTATCCATTCTGGTATCCAGAGGATAAACGATGTTCATTGCCTGTTCACGGTGAAGTGTTCAGTCGAGAACGTCTGTTTTTTTCCTGCTAAACACTCTTGTATAGAATTAAAACAAAATAAAAGTCATCTGACTGACTATTTCGTATTTTTAGATTTATTAATGTCTAGTTATTCTCGTAAACTGACTTTTTCTTTGACTAATACCTTCACAATTTTCAGTTTCACCCCTCTGAAAGGAAAATTCCTTCAGTTTCATAAAGATGGAATTTATCCAGGCACTATTTCGATTCCTGATGAGTCTATGCAAGTTCTGTCAGTGTCATCTGTCTCAGTAGGGTATAACTGCGATCAATAGTACCTCCGCCTTTCCGAGTTCATAGAATGATGTTATGCTGTATCTCGATAAGCAGATAACATTTCACAAGAATTATGCTTTATTTCAACATCCATACAATAATTTAGCAGATATATTTATACTACTTGATAGTAGTATAACTTTAAAACAGAATTTTATGAAGCATACTCAGATTTTTCCGTTTGTAAAAACTAAGGTCTATATGAGAATTCTGTTGATTAGTCGTTATTTAGTTTGCTAGTGTGTACTTTATGAAAACGTTAACCATTTATTTGAGTTCAAACTGAGTGACGTGCTGGTCATAAACAAAAGCATTTGGAATTAGAAGGCTTGCAAATTATATCTGTAGAAGTAACAAATTACTGAGAAGTATCTGCTCGCTTGTTTTATAAGTCTTATAAACAACAGATAAATGAACTTTTCGGCTCAAGCCATGGTATGTTGGCTAATTAGCGAGCATTTTCATCATCTACCTTGTACAGAAGTGGTTCACTGGCTTAAAGAGAGGATGGTGAAGCAATGAGTCCTGTGTTCTGACCCCCACTCTGGTTGGTTCTGCCTGGTCAGCTGAACAGTATCACAAGCCATCATAAAGCAAGGGTGAATTTCAGCTCAGTACACAAATCTGCACCAAAACAAGTTGCAGGGACAATTATTAGTTGAAATAGTAAATACCGACAAAACAATATGAAAATGTAGTCTATCTGAAACATGAACTGTGTAAATCACCCACAATTTTGTAAGCTGGGTTGCCAAATGAAGATGGATGAAACAACATACAGTTTTCAAATGCATAAAACAAGTCAAAATTTCTTTATAGTTACAGCTATGTCCCCAATAAATTCTGTAACTAAGCCTGAAAGATGAAAACAAGTCAACTTCGTGATCCCTTTTAGTGAGCTTCAGATGAAGTTGGACGTCTAGTGTTTAGGTCAGTGGGATCAATTGATTTAGTTTGTTAAAGCAGTCATTTATTCATTACATAACCCCGTAACATTCTTTCGCAGTTGTAATGAAGTTAACGCTCAGTGGGACAATGAAATCCTCATTCCTCAAATTTCACACTTGTTGAATGAGAAAACCCATGTAAACCACCTATTTTTCGATCGATATTCTTCAAAGGATAGACATGAGTTTGAGAAGCATTAGAAACCAGGGAGTAGTTCACAGCTACTTCGCCTTAGAATGGAACCCCCCCCCAGCAGTGGGTACCCATAGCACAGATAGAAATCGTACCAAAGACCTTCTGCTTTCAAGGCGATCTTGTTACAGGGTTTACATTTCCCTACTTCTCTCAATTGTTAATTTTTACTGACCTCTATCCATTGCTTTTACCCAACTGGTCTTCAAATGACGTTAGCCAGTGATGAATACCAAGTTGAAATCAATAAATCTCCACAAATCTTGAAGTTGAATTGGTAACTCTTGTTTAATTATTTTATTACGCGAAGACATAAAATTTGAAACTTTTCATCAGCGAAATAAACTTTTTTTGAATTTATCCAAGAAAGCGATTTGAATAATTTGTTATTTCTTAGTCTGTTTCTTTTGGTTTACATGAAGAATGTTTGCTTTCTCTTAAATTCTATTTTATCACTAGCGTAAGCCTTCACAAATGATTGAAATGTTTCTTATGTAAACTGACAACAAATTCAAAGGTTTGCGCTTATTCAACTGAATCGACTTATTTTTAAGGTAGCATTCATCATGGAATGATATCAGTTGGAGAATCATTTAAAACCTGTCAATACTCGTAATCTATTTCGTTCAAATGTGGGGCTCCTCAGCAGCACGCATCTGAGACCCTGACCTCAATGGACTGGAACCCAGGACCTTCAGATTTCGCGGAGAACGTCTTAACCAGTCAGCTACTGGGATGGAGTTCATGGGTTGACAGTTTCCATTCGTGATATAGCTAGACTATTACCTTCCCTTCTGACAAGTTGGCCCTATAGGTCACGGCTTCTTACTATAACTTGGAGATATTCATCTGAAAGCATGTTGCCAATGAAATAGTGGAGAATATTTGTAGCTCCGATGGATGATCTTAGTTGTATTGTGTTCTCTGGACTGGGTTGTTTAACCGTGAAGTTTTCATCGTCTTTCTAGACTGTAACATCATCAGCACTAACTTCAGTATGAAGTGAGCTGTCAGTATCTCTCCGTGACTGATTTAGTAGCTTGCCTTGACGAAGCGGAGAGATATTGACAGCTCACTTCATACTGAATTTAGTGCTGATGACGTCACTGTCTAGAAAGACCATGAAAGCTTCATGATTAAACAAACCAGCTCAGAGAACATTATACAACCAAAAATGTCGCCAATGAGCATTATACAGTAATGTATTTTGAAATGAATGGAGATTTTAATTTTTTGGTAGTATTCACCACTAACTGATATCAGTTGGAGAACCATTGAAAACCTGGGACCACCAGACAGCTGTTTCATCCTTATATGGGACTTGGTTTATGATTTCTGGAAATTTTGAGAGTTGGCCAGAAGTTACTTGTTAGTAGTGTGAGTAATATTTGTATGAGTAGTAGTAGAAGTAATAGTGTGAGTAGTAGTGACAGTATTAGTAGATTGATTACTAGTAGTCACATCTTTGGTAACATACTTAATGTCACACACAATAAATAGGTTTCCGCTGAAAGAATATATGAATAATAATTAAAGGTATATCTTAGTTAAATGATACTGTGTAATACAAGTATTATAGTAAACAGAAACCTGTTCATCTTAAAGCCAATATTCCTCAAGACTTATATTCCATAACTCTAAACATTGGGAATTTTTAGTACTTTGAAATTTCACGGGGATCCTGTTGCACTTATGGGAATCAATAAGCTCCTGAATTGTAACGTTAAACTCAATGAAGCTAAAAGGTCAGTAGAAATTACAAATGAACATTTACTTTTCATGTATTATGATCAAGATTTTTCCCCCGAGTCATTTAGTAGTCTATCGTGACGAAGTGATATGTGACTGGTAGTTTCCTTTGACTGTTGTGTTGCTGACTGGTCAGACATTCCTACTGGCTATTTCTCTGCCTGAACTCTGACCTTGTAAGTGTTTATCATTTTTCTTGATGGTTGATAGATTCGGAATGCAGTACAAGAGAGATTATGCGCACAGTAGTCCTTATCAACTCGGCTGATGTTGACAAATTGCTGACAGTGATGCAGCTGATAACTCGTTAAATTGGTTGCTAGTTGTAAATTATGTATCGTACGTCAAAGCATTTCGGCAGGATCTAATCTGAGTAATGCATATGTGTGGGTTTCAGGAGAGTAGTCTAAAACACGCCTTGTCATGCCAACAGAGAGAAGAATCAAGCAGATAGGAAGTAAACACAAAAATGTCAGTACATCTTCGCCCTATCTCCAAATGCATCACATAGTCACGCTGATAATACCTAACAAAACGGATCGGAAGTGAGTAAAATCCATTCACACAAACTTTTTTGCAAATTCTCTCTCTCTTTATATATATATATATATATATATATATATATATATATATATATATCCTCAAAGTAGTTCTCATTATGGGTTGTCTAAGGCACAAACTATAAACTTTTGGTCCGTATGAAGGGATTCGAACCAGGATGTTACTCACCACCAGATAAATGTTAAGTCCTTCAATACTGAGATAGTTAAATTACTTGATAACTTCAAGTTGTTATTTATCGTAGACTGACATCAGTTGGAGGAACAAAGGAAACCTGGGAGCACTGGACAGCTGTTTCGTCCGACTATTATGGGACTCCTCAGCAGTGCCCCCTGCGACCCCGTCAGGGACCGAACCCTCGACCTTCAGGTTCCGTGGCCAGCACGTTATCATCCAGTCACTGGGTAAGAATCCATTGGTCCATATTTCCAACTTCTGTTAGCTTGATTACTGTACCGTTGTTTTAGCATACTAATTCTACTACTATAGTACTTTGAGTAATATATGTATTAAAGGTGTATTGGTGAACACCTTTCATGTTAGAATTTCACATGATCTAATACTGTATTTGTAAGCATTCCTTAATAAACAAATATTATGAGATTGTTTAAATTATTCAGTACTTACGCGCACATTTTAATGCCTCGTATTTAGTGCATATATGTGTACATATGAGTGGATGTGTATGCTCAATTTCGATGACACACACACGTACACATATATATTTATCCAGTATACTTACATTCCTAACTGTTTTTCGGTTTCTTTCAATATGCACACACACACACACATGTGCACGTGTACGCGTGTTAACAGGATACCTTATCACTCAATAAATATACTCTATCGACATATAGACCACAAGATTCATTTATCAAACACCATGATGCTAATGACAATCATCTTCTATATCAACATCGAGGTCACCAGCAATTTCAAGCCCAATCCAGTTTAAACTCATCGCAATCAAACTGTAAGAAGAACAATAATAATATTGAACTGTTGGATAAGTTATCTCAACATCATCAAGGTGGGGAATCAGTTAGTGCTCAAGTGATAAACCCTGCTAACAACAACAATAACAGTAATTTTGTTGATGGCGTCAGTAGTACTGGTACTACAACACTTGGTGTATCCGATCCTACCATATTAAATAACAATAAAAATCAAAATAATCATGTACCACTTGTTGTTCCACCATTGATAGGCATAAATGAAATCAATTCAGATGATTATCATATACTAGGCGAGGATATTAACTCAACTAATCACGTGAATAACAGTACAGTGAATATTTCAGACGTGACTAGTCAACCAATCCTCTTGCATAGTCAACGTGATCAATGTACAAATGATGATGTGTTACATTTCAGTCGAAATAATTCCTTAAAATCAAATTTTTGGTTACCTAAAGTGGCAATGAATTCAAATCGTACAAAATGTGATGATGTTTTATCGACTAGTTGGAATTTATTAACAACGAAAAGTTGGAAATCAGAACAAGAAATTGAAAATAAAAAATCACATATGAATGGAATAAATAGTAAGGGTGGATTTTGGTTTCGTGAAAGATCAACAAATATAAAACCGTTAGCAGCAGTCCGACGACAATCAGATCGACATCAATATGAACAGAAACATTCAAAGACAATGAAATTCAATTCGTTAGTAAATCATTGTCCATTAATAAATCAATATTTAGCATCGAATAAATCAGTAAGTTATATTGAGATACTGTTGTGATGCTCCAGTTTTGTATAAAACATTGTTATCGATCCGAACATTTTAAAGTATCATTCCCACATTATTTTTACGGTATGACTAATAGTCTATTTTCTGCCCCCATTGTAATGTAATTCGCTGATTGGTTAACTTTTACTCTTACCATGCGAACTTCTCCAATTGCGGACAAGGTCATTTTTCATGTGTATACTTATTCACGTGTTTTGGATTGATACGCTGTTATTATATTATGTTCTCGGAGTTATACACTTTCCCATCTGCCAGCTTCGGTCTTCTCTCTAGTCATCCGGGGGTTGCAGCAAGTGACTCTTGCGTACCAAGTTAGCTGTCAGCTAAGAGCGCGTATTATATTCGTTACGGAATATATACATATACCATTAGCGCCTCGAACCCATAACAGATACCTAAACTTTTGTTGATGTTTACATCAAACTGGTTTATGACAGGTAAAAATGTCAACACCATGGAATTCAAACCTGTATCACTTATATTTCACCCACAAAAAAAAAATACTAATTACCTCAAATACCCAGGCGAAAAGAGATCCATCCGTTATTGATAACCACTAGCTACCATCAACGTATTAGCTCGATTAAATTTACGTGACTGATTTATTACATTTATACAAAATAAATCACACCAGATAAACTGAAATTCATCCAGACATCAAAATCAGCCAATCACTGAGGTTTAGTCTAAACAGAGTGTTGATTCGATAATTTTGAAATAGTTTCAACAGTGGAAACTTTAACACATCGTACTGAAGGTGAAAAAAAAACCTTATTGTTCCTGATAGGTGTGCACCTCAAAAGCTGAAACTTATCATCAACCCGTACAAATATTTTCCAAGGATGTCACAGAAACCTAGGTTAATAATACACTGCATGATAGCAGCTTGTAAACACGTGTAAAGATGGAAGGTTGACTATAGGGCTAGCAACACTATCCGACCGCTAAAAAAACTTCAAAGCACAAACAAACATATAAAAAATAATCATAAACTTATTCCTCCATGGAATCAGAGAGACAAAATAACACCGATTGGTGAAAGCCTTCAGAAACTCAATTGATCGAGGTATCTTCTCTTCCCTCAACGAAAGCAAAAGTTAGAATGGGGACATGGAATGTCCGCACAATGTTTGAACATAGAAAGGCTGCCCAGATTGCAAAACAGATGGGAGGGTATTGCACAGAAGTGCTAGGAATCTGTAAGACTAGCTGGAATGGAAATGGACTCTCCAAACTGTCAACCGAAGTGTCAATAATCCACTCCGGTCACCCAGATGACAACCACGAGCACACTGAGTTTTGGAGTGGCTATCATGATGTCCCCTTCAACAGCATCGAAGGCTCACTCTCATGCAGTGCAGTGGGAAACAATCTCCTGCTGCAGGATCATGATCGCAAGATTCAACTAAAAATGGAAGGAAAGTCACAATCATACAATGTCACGCTACACTACACTACACTACGCACATACAAGTAGTGTTGATCGAGAGAAGAAGGAGGAATCGTTCAGACAACTGCAAGCAGTACTGAACGAGACCGCATTCCAGTTGGTGACATCAAATTCATTCTCATGGGTGGAGTGACATGAATGCCAAACTGGAAGCAGACAACACTGGTAGAGAACTGATCACGGGTCGAGAGGCACTTGGTGAAATGAATGAGAATGGAGGAGTGTTTGCAGACTTCTACACCTTCAATGATTTGATGATTGGAGACAGTGTGTACAAACACAAGAATATTCACAAAGCGAGCGACACGGATTTGATTTCACCAGACGGACACACTACACTAAAAATCAGATCGACTTCATCTCAATTTGAAGAGAGTGGTGACGCAGCCAGCCTACTGTACAGAAGATCAGATGAAGAAGAGGAGCACATGAAGATTGACACCAGTGACTATCTAGTGTGAGGAACCTAACTTCCAAATCAAGTTGAAAGCCTCCATAGAAGTTGGTGATATACTACAGTTGAACCATAGTTGAACACGGAGAACAGGAACTGAAGTGAAGGATGAAACTACAAAGGACATCTTCACATCAGCCAGTCATCAGGAAAAAATGGGAGACATTATGCAACATCTCAAAATGGAAACAACGGGTCGGGGGTCCGAGGGTGACATGAAGAAAATGGTGTGAGAAAGAAATGAAAGCTTCTGGCAGTCGTGGGGCCAGGTTCAAAAGATTGCAGAGAACAGAGTGATATGGAGACGTGATAGTGAAGCCTTATGTTCCACTAGGAACCCAAAGGACAAATAATAATGCAATAAAACTAACAAAATACTTTTATTGATTTGCTTTTGTACTTGTTTCATGCATTATATCAGAGCGTATATGAATTTCCACTAAGGAAGGTTAACAAGAGACTGCTTTTCATTATAATTGTCAAGGATGAATAATAGGAAACGCGAATCTTGTGACTGATCTAGATTCACTTGCTTTTATTATTATTTACCACCTGTGTTTCTAGTGAAACATAGAGCTTCACTACCACGCTGTCATTTCACTCTCTTCTCTCTAGTCGTTTCAACCTGGCATCATGACTGCCCACAAGCTTTTATTTCTTTCTAACACCATCTCCTCCATGTCACACCGCACTCATCGTTTCTCATTTGAGTTCCACTCCACGACCTGGCCTGGCACGTGATGTCCCCAAATAGTCATCTCAGTGTATGCCCAGTCCACCTCCACTCTCTTCTTCTGTATATTTGTTGGGCGATATGTTCTTGGTTGGTTCGTTGCCAGCCAGCCAGAGTTCCTTGTTGCTAATTCCCTCTGGCCATCCGATTGACATCTTCAATATCAAGCGTAGGTGGCAGTTGTTGATGAATGTCTGTAGTTTATTGGAAATACTTTTTGTAACTCGCCAAGTTTCTGAACCATCACATAGAAGCACTGACTTGACTGAATTAATGTTCAAAATCCGGATCTTGTTCTACATGCTGATTGCAGTTGATCTCAACACTGAGTTCAGATTAATGAGGACCTGTCTTGCTTTTCCGATCCTGCCTGGCTTTGACATCCTCATCTGTGCAACCTGTACTCGAAACGATGCTACCTAGGAAGGTGAAAGAGACTACTGTACTTTCTTAAGGTTTCTCGCATTGATGGTGATTGGTGCTTGTTGTTGTTGTTGGTTGGATGTCTTCATCACCTCTGTCTTCTCTACATTCACCTGAACGAAGTTCCATCTTCGCTGCGCTGTCTCTTCTGTCAACTTGTTGGTTTTCGCCTGCACATCTTCGAGTTTGTGCGATATTATACACAAATCACCGGTGAAAATCAAATCGTGTAGGGGCCTTTCATCAGTCACACAGTGTATGCTTATCTTCTTGCTCCTCACAGTTTGTTGCATGATCCAGTCCAGTGGAGTCGACCACAATCAGGAAGATGATCAGTGACAGTAGGCGGCAACTTTGTCTTACTCCTGTCCTCACTTCAGACACATCACTGGGCTTTCCACTGTGAATCACTTGGCATGAGGCGTCATCGGATATGTTGTTGAATAAGGCTGATAATGGTTTTTGGTACACCATAGCGTTGAAGCAGTCTTCGAATTACTTCTTGGTAGACGCTGTCGAAGGCCTCTCCAAAGTCGATGAAGTTGAGGTAGAGAGTAGACTGGCATTCTATGCTCTGTTCTACCAAGATGCACAGCGTACGGTTACAACTTTCATTGAGAATGACTTGTTTTTCCTGATTACAGCCAGCTTATTCCGATCGTAGTTTTGGGTCCTGTGCATCCTTTAGAATTTCAAGGAACATGCGGCTTAATATTTTGGTTTTGTTGGACAGCAGCATGATTCCTCGCCAGCTCGTGCAAAGAATTAGGTCTCTCATCTTTGAAAGTTTGATAAGGTAGCTCTTGTTCCAATCAATAGGCAGGAACCTATCCCCCTCCCTTCCTTCCTTCCAGACCTTCTCCAATAGTGGTGTGGTGGAAGCACGTCTACTGCAGATGTCTCTGCGCCTGTTTTCATTGCTTCTGGTTGAATTCCATCTAGTCCTGCCTTTTTCCCAGCTTTCAGCAACTATATGGCATTCACGACTTCACTTCTGCTTTTGTCCGACAGCCTGCGTTCACTGGTAGGTCTGTGGCTGGACTGCTGGTCGCATTTCTTGACGAGTTGCACGTGGTGGTGATGTTGATCAACTCAAAAGTATTTTGAAGTGGTCAGCACATCGTTTCCTTCGCTTCTCCTCTCTGGTAACCACGTTTTCTTCAATATCTTCCAATGATTTTATCTGTTCAGTGTTGGTCTCTGACCTCCATGGTTATTTGATATGATGTTGTCAGGTCTCTGTCTCTCCTACCTGCAGCCTATTCTGCTTCACTTGCCAGTGTGTTGTAGAAGTGTCCTTCGTGTTTGCGCGCACTCTTCTTCACTTCATTGTCCAGTGTAGTGTTTTGTAGGCTGTGTTTACCTCCACTTTTCGCTGTTCATCCCTCCACTGCACTGCACTGCACTGGTTTATCTTCCCCTTCACCATCACCATATTTCTCTTCTTCCTCTAGCAGCTCCCATGTGTCCATTGAAATTCATTCGTTGTCTTGAATTTTCGTACTTGCTAACATGGTAATCCAGGTTTCCTGCTAACTCTCTTCCAAAGAATTGCAGTGCCTTTCCAAGCAGATTATCGTGGGGATGTTGCATAATGTCTCCCATTTTTTCCTGATGACTGGCTGATGTGAAGATGTCCTTTGTAGTTTCATCCTTCACTTCAGTTTCTGTTCTCCGTGTTCAACTATGGTTCAACTGTAGTATATCACCAACTTCTATGGAGGCTTTCAACTTGATTTGGAAGTTAGGTTCCTCACACTAGATAGTCACTGGTGTCAATCTTCATGTGCTCCTCTTCTTCATCTGATCTTCTGTACAGTAGGCTGGCTGCGTCACCACTCTCTTCAAATTGAGATGAAGTCGATCTGATTTTTAGTGTAGTGTGTCCGTCTGGTGAAATCAAATCCGTGTCGCTCGCTTTGTGAATATTCTTGTGTTTGTACACACTGTCTCCAATCATCAAATCATTGAAGGTGTAGAAGTCTGCAAACACTCCTCCATTCTCATTCATTTCACCAAGTGCCTCTCGACCCGTGATCAGTTCTCTACCAGTGTTGTCTGCTTCCAGTTTGGCATTCATGTCACTCCACCCATGAGAATGAATTTGATGTCACCAACTGGAATGCGGTCTCGTTCAGTACTGCTTGCAGTTGTCTGAACGATTCCTCCTTCTTCTCTCGATCAACACTACTTGTATGTGCGTAGTGTAGTGTAGTGTAGCGTGACATTGTATGATTGTGACTTTCCTTCCATTTTTAGTTGAATCTTGCGATCATGATCCTGCAGCAGGAGATTGTTTCCCACTGCACTGCATGAGAGTGAGCCTTCGATGCTGTTGAAGGGGACATCATGATAGCCACTCCAAAACTCAGTGTGCTCGTGGTTGTCATCTGGGTGACCGGAGTGGATTATTGACACTTCGGTTGACAGTTTGGAGAGTCCATTTCCATTCCAGCTAGTCTTACAGATTCCTAGCACTTCTGTGCAATACCCTCCCATCTGTTTTGCAATCTGGGCAGCCTTTCTATGTTCAAACATTGTGCGGACATTCCATGTCCCCATTCTAACTTTTGCTTTCGTTGAGGGAAGAGAAGATACCTCGATCAATTGAGTTTCTGAAGGCTTTCACCAATCGGTGTTATTTTGTCTCTCTGATTCCATGGAGGAATAAGTTTATGATTATTTTTTATATGTTTGTTTGTGCTTTGAAGTTTTTTTAGCGGTCGGATAGTGTTGCTAGCCCTATAGTCAACCTTCCATCTTTACACGTGTTTACAAGCTGCTAGCAGGTAGTAAAGTAGTTGTAGGGGCGAGGTTGTAATTTAGTCATAAAGGAAGACGGTTTCAACCTATTTCATTGTGCGTAAGCCTAATGCAATCAATTACTTATGATTACGTATTCTGGTGTGAAAATGATATGCTACTAAATTTCTTTTGATCGCTTGGATGTAAAGGCAATAGTAATTGATCATTTTGCTATTGCGAATGCCGTCAATTTGTCAAGCTGGAATGTTTTACGGCTTATTCTTTTTCTGATTATTAATATTTGTTGGCGGCTATTGATGAAAACTTTATTTTCTTTCATTGCACATGTCATACTTAGATCTTTGTTTTATTTGTGAACATGTGACTTGTTTCTGTTTATCAACGTTTTGTTGACTTAACGAACCAAAACAATTAGGCTTTTAGAATGGTATCAGTGAGGATGCAGATGGAATAGAAGCTTGGCTTCAAACTAGTGATAATCACTTTCCAGTGACTATCTGTCTACCATGAAATGTTGATCAGTGAGAGCGATATGCAGCTACGTTTCCGATGAGTAGTATGCACTGACGATATCAGTTTATTTAAGATATTACTTTTAGGGTTAGATTACATCATAATATATTATCGCTTAAAAAATCATTGAAAAAAACGATTTTGATACTCAACGGAAATTTTTCGACCCCTAACGCCTACTTGTGAGTAGCTAAACTGATATTTGGGGGTAAAGCAAGTCAGTTATGACGTCAACATGCTGGGTTTCGTCATATTTGGGAATTGTCAGCCGGATATACCTGCATCCCACTGGATGATAGCGTCCTTATTGTGACTGGAGATCATGGCTTCTAACGTCAAAATGCCATCCACTAGACCAATAGCATAGGAAAGCCACCTCTTATGCAATGGGTATTGACAGTGGAAACTTTACAGTATGCAGAGGTTCAGCGTTTCAGGCTCTTGCATGTATCCTTGAATATAATAAAGAAAATCTATGCATGGCTTTCTATAGATTCTTCTCTTCATGAATGATATCTACTTGTAAGCCAAAAGTGAATCATAATCTTAAAATCGAATATTCACATTTAATGAATTTACTAATGAATCAGATAATGGTCAACATTGAAAATAGAATAAAAGTTTCATTTTCTTCTCTCACTTGTATCCAATATATTATCGATTATACAAAATGATAATTAGTGGATGAATTTTTAATCGATCAGCTGATATACCTGTACCAGTGTTACAGCTCACCTTTCTTATTCTTTTTTTTCTTCTTTTTCGATTACTTTTATGAAAGCTTCAACGACACTATGATTCATCAACGGAACAAATTGAAATTTTCAGTTTACCTGAAGCAAAAGTGAAATATCCATATAATTTGAAGGTGACAAACTCATTGATCAATTCAAATTATTCTATTGTCTCATCGAATAAACAGAAACCTTTTAAACTATCTACACATCATACACCAAAAATAATTGATGACGCTGATAGAAGGACGAAATCTAAAATGAATAACAATTATAATAATAAAGAGATGAATCATATTTCAACAGATAGTGATGTTTCTTTGCTTGGCGTTGAATTAACAGTACAACCAATATCAAATAATGAAAAATTAGGCAAAGATTATGAAAATGTTATTAAAATTGAAAAACCATCAACGGTTACCATATCAACTGTGGAATGTAGTAAAAATCAAGTTAATCATTCATCTATACAAAATATTCATTCATTAAGTCATCAAAATCGTGTTATGAATGGTGATTATCATAATTCAGATTATGAGAATCGTGTTGAATTGAAAGACACTGTAAATCGTGAAATGATTATCCGTATAACTAATCATCAAAATGAAATTTGTACAGATGGTATAAAAAACTCAAAAGAAAAGTCCATTTTAATTGAACCACAAAAGCTGAATCAATTAGAATCTAGAAAGATGTCCAGTTTTGGTGAAGATGATACGGAACCTGTAAAATCCAATGGAAAAATGAATATTCCTATGACCCCACATAGTAAGTAGTATATTTTGTTTGATAAATGTTCTATCCATTTTGTTTCATCCAGCTATAGCAACCACACTGATGATGTAAACAGCTTGCTAGTTAGACACAAACTTAACGGTGCTATCAAGAAAACATATTTTACACGGTATTACATCTACCAGTTTGAGTGTAAAATTAGTCAGACAAACATACACAGAGGGTCCAATGACCAACGAACTGAGGCATATACGAAATACTGGTCTTTATTATCATTACTCCTTGAGTTATTGGATTCAAGTTGATCCCCCTACCACTAACGTAACACCAAATACTCGAAACTGAAGGCTATTTTTGATGGTTAGCCCACACAGTGTACAATTGTTTGTATTCAACAAAATATACGGGAAGTGTTCAAGGCCTTACAAGCTCAGGCGGTCTAATGAGAATGTCAGAAATGTAAAACAAAAGACCAGCTACTTTTAAAGCCACTCTGGCAACTGCTTGGATAACCAATTAGGCTTCAATATTTTATGGAAAAACTACCTTTCTAGTCAGAATACCGAGACGTGATTGGTCACTGCAGCAGTTACCAAGGTGGCCTTTAAAGGCGTCCAGAAGACAGATACTTCATAGACTTTCAGGATTGATTCGTTTTTATGGTCAGTCTTATCGCATTCGAATACGAGTGACTCTGAAGGCCGTCAAAGCCTCAACCGCTGAGATAACCAATCACTATTCTCTATTTAACAAAACCCGACTTCCTCAGACGAAATACAGAAAGCCGATGGGTTATTTCGGCAGTTGCTAGAGTGACCTTCAAAGTCAATCACAAATACAATATGAAGTAAACTTACATTAAAAACTGAAAGACTCAAATCACGAATGTTTTAGTAAGGATGACGGAATGGCGTTCAAGGCCACCCTAGCAAAAATTGAAATAACCAATCAAACTTGTGTATTTTATAAAAATCGTCCTTTTTAGCCAAAATGAAGAGACCTAATTGTTTACTTCAATCGTTGCTAGGGTGGCCTTTAAAGTCGTCCAGGATGCGAACGTCCATGTGTCAAGGTAGATATTATAACCAGTGTGTGCCTGCTTAAGTGAGATGATTGGTTTCACATATGGAATTTGTTATAGCTCATTTATTCTGATCTGGTTGTTAAACCTTTTGAGTGACTCTCCAGTTCATCTTAACAACTGATAAAATAACCAATGAGATTTCTTTATTTTATGAAAAAGATAACTGTTCAGCCGAGACAAAATTTAATTGGTTATTTCATAGGTGACTGGATGGCTTTTTAAGTCATGCAATATTTTCATTGGCTTATTATAAAGCCACGGGGAGGAGAGTTTGGTCAATGAACCGGTTAACCGGTGAATGCGGATAAGCTGAAGCCTTGATAGTTGGGAGGGTTCTGTAAATACAGTTATCGATGTGATAGGGTGTTCAAAAGAATGCTCTGACAGGAGTTTCCATTTTCATTTGGAACCGTTGCTTAGATGTTTCCTACTCAGGGAGGAGATCAATCCACCACGTTTGCTTAGGGACATCCACAGATGTGAAGACCAGATTGGAACTTGGAGTTGAGTCGAAAATCAGAGTGAAACCTCTGATAGCCTTATCTACTGTCATGATATATAAACTGAATCTCGTTTTTGGTTGGTTCTGAATAATTCAAGGAGGGTGAACTAACTGCCCACAACACTAGGTAATCCAATACAAATTGGTTTATTTTTATTTAAACAGCGTAATGAGAAGACGAAGATTATCTGAAACATGTGATGTATTAGCGCTATACATTTTTGTTGTTTGAATAAACTGAGAAAGACGTAATGGGTTTACCTAGTGTTGTGGGCAGTTAGTTCACCCTCCTTGAATTATTCAGAACCAACCAAAAACGGGATTCAGTTTATATATCATGACAGTAGATAAGGCTATCAGAGGTTTCACTCTGATTTTCGACTCAACTCCAAGTTCCAATCTGGTCTTCACATCTGTGGATGTCCCTAAGCAAACGTGGTGGATTGATCTCCTCCCTGAGTAGGAAACATCTAAGCAACGGTTCCAAATGAAAATGGAAACTCCTGTCAGAGCATTCTTTTGAACACCCTATCACATCGATAACTGTATTTACAGAACCCTCCCAACTATCAAGGCTTCAGCTTATCCGCATTCGCCGGTTAACCGGTTCATTGACCAAACTCTCCTCCCGTGGGGACATGTGCGTGATATGTGCCTTCCAGAAAAGGTATTACTTTAAAAAGCTTGGTTCTTGAACCTATAGTGCCGGTAGATCCATATCAGTAGCTCCTTTCAGGGAACTGACATACAGCCAAGACTAGGACTAACAACAATGGCATTCTGGAGTAAATATTGTTCAACTATGCAAAGTAGGACTATATTCGTTTCTCTGTGTTACTTCAGCAAAATGGTTACCGGAATTAGGAAACTCGAATTAACCTCACCTTCCAGCTGCATTGCTCCTAGAACACTTGGCGGGATCCTGATGGCTCACAAAACCGTCCCTGCTTTAGGGACCAGTGCCACTGACCTTGCTTGCTTGCTGTCAACCGAAGTTTTTGCTACGTTAACTTGATGGTATATTGCTTCATATCCAGCGTGGCCATAAGTTTGGTTTCTTTAATCTTGTCTAGAAATACAACGAAAGCTTCGCAATTAAACCGCCCAGCTCGGAGAACACAACACACAATCTACCTTAAGGACAAATATTCTCCATTATTTCTAAACTAACTGGTAGAAAAATCAGGTTGATCACTGAGACCCTATATGTTACTAACGAATTTTGCCGCATAGTATATCTTAACAGTTTAATGAATAATGGTGTTACAGAAAAAGGATGTAAATCATGAGAAAAACAGCATTACATCAGATGACAGGTGAAATACTGTTTAATATTTCGATATGTTTTGTGTTCTGTGAGCCAGTCGTTTTGGCTGCCGACGTTTCATTATCACACCAGAACCCTTGTTAAGAGTGAATTAGTCTGCCTATGAAAAAGTAGTATCTCCTTGAGGTCTGCACTCATCTCAAAGTTGCTGTAAGAGTTGAGTTTTCATATAAGAAATGTCATATTATTTGAGAAAACAATTAAAGCAATTAGAAATTGAAGTTTGTCAAGAAAATATATGAAATAGTTGTGAAATACATTTTGAACAATCATAGGAAGTGATCAAACATAGTAATCAGCGTTCAAGGTGAACGGTTGTTAGGATAGAAGTATTTTTATTTCAGACTTCCATATATGTCTCTATATAGACGATTCAGTAGCCAATAAGATTTTGTTATTCCATCTTTGACATGAGACATGTGGGAATTGTATAAATATACTGTACTGTCGTCATCGTTCTTACAGTCACAGGTCAGCCTTTGTCTTTTGATATTTGTGCGACTCAGCGAAGAATAAGGTGCTGGGGGGAAATTATTATATTGTCATTCTGTTTTAATTTATCATTGTTTTAACTATCGTTATCATCTATGTTTTACTCCACTCAATCACTTCAAATAACCTATCTGATCACACATTTAATTGTAAAGTTCATTTATACAAAATGAAAGAATAGATGGATGAACAGCGAACAGTTCAAATAATAAGGGATTACAGTTAAGAAAGATGAGAACAAATAATCTCAAGATGTACCTCTGAAGGTTTATGTCTAAGCCCTTGAAAGCTGTTTGATCAATAATTTTTTGAACCGATTTTATATATTCAGCTATAGATAAAGAGAGTCGTCTCCTATCTGCACTTATCAAAGTTTCACATTCCGTGTATTCTTGAAACCATTTAGGCACATGTTCTCCGCCTCCAGCTGGATGGCTTGACTACACTTCTTCCTATGGATGCATGACCACACACAGGTAAACTGATAAACACAATGGGTCGCGACGTAATCATTTCTACAGCGTTTAGGTTTGTGGTGGAGCGTGTGTTTTATCTTTTCCACAATGATAATCTAAGCTGTTAAGAATGCTTAACCACTAGGAGATAGAAAACTCATCGTCGAAATTGTACTACTCAACTCTTCACTATATAGTAGGGTGATGTGAAGTCTTTCCTTATGTACCAAATACAAAATGTTAGCTATACATTTACAAATAACTTTGTAAATATTTTCATTCCATAGGTATTTTCACCTTAAACAGTTATCTGTGAATGAAAGGATGTCCATGACTTAACACCAGGGCAGTCATTCAAAAGGCTTACCTACTTTCTTCAAGCCATCGCATCTTTCCACTGGAAGTCTGAAGGAGTCAAGTCGTTCAATTTCAGGGTGGTATTCAGCAGGAACTGAGATAACCTGAAGAACCATTAGAAAATTAGGAGTACTGAGTAAAGTAACTAATATACCATCGACATTACTAATTCCTCCAACTAGGCAAGGGGATAAAATAGAACTATGCTTATCATAAAATCTGAAGGTTCTTGACTTGATTCTCTGCAAGAATATATGTTGACACTGATGAGAAGTCCTACAGAAGAGCAAAACAATTTTCCAGTTGTGAAAGCTCTTCATTGACTCTCTAAGTAATTTCAGTCCGTCATAAGACTAAACCATCCACACCAAATACCAACATAATTCATATACTGCTTATACACGACATCCATTCAGAGAACTTTTTTATTTCTGCTGCAGTATACATATTTGTGTGAAACTTCGAAGACTGTTAGACGAGAAGACATTTTCACAATTAGCTAATGTGAAATGTGTTGGTTTCTAAAACCTTCAAACTTTCTAATCAGCGCGAAGGTGGCCTTCTCTAAAATTACTGTTACATCAGCGCCAGTATCAGTGTAGGTTCTAGGACCAAAGTAAATTAATTTAGTAGTTGGTGGTTAGCAGTGGAATCGAAGACGCAGGTTACATGCTGTTTCCGACTGGTTAAGTGTGTGTATTTCTGAATCCCTGTATATGCGGGTGTTCCTACTGAAACTTGGACTGAGTAGTCATTGCCTCAAAATCAAAGTGATATCCACTAGGTCTCTGGGGTACAATGGTTACCCCTTGTGCA